TATCTAATTAACCAGACTCGATAATGATTCGACTCGATTTTAACCTGATATGATTTGAACTGAAACACGCTTCATATTGGATAATACTGTTTCCAAATAGACCCAATTCAATCCAAACCGGTTATGACCTTAACCAATAATAACCCAAGCTGATTTCACCCGATCTGTTTTGAACCGAAATCCATTTTCAAACCGACCCAATTTAACACAAACTGATTATGACCTAAACCGATTACAACCCGACCCGATTAGGACCCGAATTGTTTTGAACCAAAACCCGCTTTAAATTAGCTAAAACCATTTTCTAATCGACTCGGTTTAACCCAAACTGATTATGACCCGAACCGATTACAACTTGATCCGATTAGAACCCGATCCGAATAGAAACCGCAATTAAAAAAACCAAACCGAACTGACCCGATAATTTACAAAATCGACCCAAACCGACCCACTAATCATTTCAACCCGTTATAAACCGATCTATTATAACCCGAAATCGATAAACCCAATCTGAAACTGAACCGTTTACCCAAATTGACACCCCTAATAACGACCCATTCTTATTTTATTATTTTTCTCTCATACTAACCCACTTTACACATTTTTTTAAAAAAAAAAAAAATTATTTTCTCTTCTACTAACAATTAAATGTATCCCTTCCAACTTTATACGAAGTATTAGGTTAGAACCTGTGCGATGCACGGTTTATATAAAATCTATTTTTATAATTTGTACATTTAAAAAAAATGGATGAATATAAATAAGAATTATGCACCTTGTACAAAAATATTTGTAATTTTATAGTTTTAGATTTTCATCAAAATTATGATATAATACCTGTTCAACGTCGCCTAATACATATTTCAAGGTAGGAGCCCATTTATTAGTGTACTATTTACAATTGTTTCATTTTTTAAAGATAAATTGATAGGTTGTAGTTGTAATTTAGAAGCTTCTAATATTCAAATTTCAAAATTGTTAAATGTGGTAGCTCCAAAAAAAAAAAAAAAACATCATCCTTGCATTTAGGCGGGAAAAAAATTTATTATTTGAGTAACATAAGAACAGTGATGATGTCAGCAACGTTTTGTTTTAGTAATAGTTAATAGATTATTAAACTCTCATAGTCTCATTTTGGCCCTCAGACTATAAGTTTCCTATAATTATGTGTCATACCTAATATTGCGAGTATAAGATTTGTACTTCCTGCTGTTCATTTTAGTTGATACTTTTTAGCTTTCGCCGCTTTTGACAAACTGTTAGTTAAAACATCTATTACAATATTACTTTTAGTTTTTGGCACTCTCTCAGTCTTTCCAACTCTCTTGCATAAAATAATTAGTCAATTCCAAGGAGTAATTTTTATTTCAATTGAGATGTCGACTAACACTGTATGCACCTTAGTGGTTTCCCTACTTTATCTTATCTCATGTTACTTTGTATATTTGTTTGGGTTCTAGCAAATAACAATATGTTAATAGCCTCATTATACCACTTTGATTTGTTTATTCAACTCTAATCAACAATTAACAAAACTCCACTACATACAATATCCCTATTTACATATGACCAACCTAAATGGATAGCTAATCTGGAAGAAAGTCTAAAATTAGAAAGTTAGTAAACAAACAAGAACCAACTATATCATGCCACGTGTATTATAACACTGAAAATATAGATAGACCTTCTGCAACATGATTGGTTGGTGTCATCTAGAGAAAGATTACAGTATGTGGGTGTGAGGAATACACAAGATAATTGAATTAGAAAGATAAAAAAACAAAAGAGAACAAATTGAGGCAAAAATTTCATCAACAATCTTTGAAGCAACCATGGCAGCAATAGCTGCTGCTTCAACTTCCTATTTTGGAAAGTCTGTAAAATATGCTCAACCTCCATTTTCTTTCTCCTCTACCTCTCCTAGAAATCTCACAATCCTTGCTATGGCATCACAGAAGAAGGTAGTTATTACTTTTTTTTTTTTTTTTTTTTTGCGGTAATGTTTAACTCCATATTTATTTTCACTAAATTTATAGAACTTTATTGATTAGATTTATTTTATACTTCTTATAATCTAGTTTTACCTAGATTAATTCTCAACAAGGCCTTAAGGGTTTGATTACTACTAATTATGTATGTAATGATACAAGTATAGTTAAGGGCCATATTGATTTGATTTTCCTTGCCTTTCTTGTCTTTTTATTTATGTGTTTTCATGGATGTTCATCTCTAATGGTTTCATAGAGTTTATCGAGCTGTTTGCCTTAAGGGATTGAATCTCGTTTATATCACTATATACATAATTTAACTTATAAAAGTATTAAAAATGCATTACACCTCCTTAATTAGAGAATTTTATTGTAGCTAGTTGTTTTTTGTTATAATAATTTGGGAGTTGATTTTTGGTTCTTGTCACCTTAAGAAAGTTTATCGAACATAGGTTACCTAGAAGTACAAGATTTTATGTATTTTGATTATATTGTCACCTTAAGAAAATTTATATTAATTGAGATAGATTGCATCTCGTTACATTACCATTAGAGTAATTTAATAAATGTGTTACACTTGAATTCTATTGCTTAGCTAGAAGTACAATTTATTATTATTATTATTATTATTTTTTTCCGTCAAAATAAAAGAAGTACAAATTTTTAAAAGTTTATGTACTTAAAAACAGGTGAACAAGTATGATCCAAAATGGAAGAAACAATGGTTTGGAGCAGGACTATTTTTCGAAGGTAGTGAAGAGGTACAAGTAGATGTATTCAAGAAGCTAGAGAATCGAAAAGTTCTTAGCAATGTTGAGAAAGCTGGATTACTATCAAAGGCAGAGGATCTTGGATTTACACTATCTTCCATTGAGAAACTAGGGGTGTTATCAAAGGCAGAGGATTTGGGGTTATTGAGTTTATTGGAGAATTTCGCTAGTTTGTCTCCTGCGGCCTTAGCATCCGCGTCATTGCCCTTGCTAGTAGCCGCGATTGCAGCTGTTGTTCTTATACCCGATGACACAAGTGCCCTTGTGGCAACTCAAGCTGTGGTTGCCGGTACTCTTTTTGCCGGGGCTGCCGGGTTGTTTATTGGGTCTGTGGTTTTGGATGGGTTACAAGAAGCTGATTGAGTTGTTTATTGAGTTTGTATGTATATGAATATGTTGTTAGTGCATGGTTGGAGTTCTAGATTAGAGGGAGAAGTGTGCCAATTTTAGTTTCTTAAGGGGGAAAAAAAAATGAACATGTTTGGCTAAGATTTTTTGTGCATTTGTAAGCAAGAATTAGGACTCTTGACTACTATGGATTGAATTTATATGTATGAATTTTGGACAACATATAATTCATATATAGAGGATATTTGAAGGTTCATATATGGTAGGTTTGCAACTTTGCACGCTTCTGAAAATGCATTTTTTTTTTTTTGAAATGACATGTATAATGCTCTGAAACTCAGATCATATATATGGTTTCAATCCAACAATAAACTTAAAGTAAATTGATGTCATTTTAGCTTGTAAGTTGTAACTTGCAAATTGAACATACTCAATACGAGTACTAAATAATTAAGTTGCTCATCAAAAGTTTAAAAATAGAGGATGATTTGATGTAGCTTGTGTGATTTAGTTAGGCCATGTTCAGTTCAACTTAAAAAAAAAAAATATTCAGTAAAAATAAGTTCAGTTCAGTAAAATTAATTTGAGTTCATTAAAAATAATTTCAGTTCAGTAAAAATCAGTAACTCTAAAGAAGAAATATAATTGATAATCTGTAATAATAATTTCAGTTCAGTAAAATTAATTTCACTTCAGCAAAAAATAAGGTGAAGTGAACGGGGCCTTAGTTAGAAAAATTTTAAATTTATTAACCATCCAATACTCCCCAAAATTATAAGCTATTTTTTGTAAGTCTCTAGATTTCAATTATCCATGACATGGATGGACCATTTAAGCTTATTAGTATCACTATTATAAATGATTGGAATCATCTAGAATTATAGCCTATTGCTCAATACTTCCTCAACACCAAGATGAGTGAAATTTATTTGACAAAGGTTTTATTTAGAGAATAATAATAATCCTTGTAAATACTTGGTATTGGTTTATTAATACCAGGGGAATTTGTTTTTTCCCACCCCTCAAAACACTCACATTTTGATTAAACCATCCTATTTCGGTTTTTTTATTTTTTATTTTTTATTTTTTTTAATAGCAAAAATATTTCATTAATTAAAAGTCATACGACATCTACAATAGAAATTCGATGTTAACAAATACATTAAATATTGAATCAAATAAAATTTTCCTTCCTAAAACCTACGATCGTTTGTTTTATTTAACCATTAAAAAAAGGAAAAAACTTCGATTTCACCGATAAGTTCCATTTAAAAAAAATAAAATTTGGAGCCATTTTGGCTTTATACAGTCTATTTAAGGTCAAAATTGACAAAAAAAAAAATATCGAAAATACGGAATTTTAGCACCATAAATTTGCACTCCGTAATTAAACATCCTTTAAGTAAAATTTGTTTTAAATATTACTCCATAAATAGGGAAAGTGGTGGACAATTAACCAAACTAAGCTTGATTACAAAACAATATTGTAAAGTAGATGCGTGGCAAAACTATTTACCAAACTAAAAATAATAAAAATAACAATTTTGAGGTAAATGAATCTGGATGCATAGCTATCAAGTTTAAAAAAATAATAAAAATAAATAAAAAATAAAAAAATAATAAAAGTGTTGAGAAAGAGAATCAAACCTGTGATGTCTAGAAAACTATAAGCAACGCTCACCACTGCTCCAACCTATTAGAGTATCTAATTTATTTTTAAAAAATAAAATAAATAGTGAAACGCTGTCTGAGGCAGCGTTTCACTAACTTATTTTTTTTTTTAAACCTAGGGTGTAAACTGGATGCTTAGTTTGGTAAATAGTTTTGCCACACATCTACTTTACAAAATTGTTTTGTAATCAAGCTTAGTTTGGTTAATTGTCCGAAAGTGGTCTCTCTATTATTTGCTGTGATACTCTTGGCAAGAACTTGTGTAATCTCAATTGTACGTTAAACCCTAAACCTCTCCCCCAATATAAACTCTCCCACCCCCTTCCTTGTCTTAATCAATCAGACCTCAATCGCAATTTCGATTTCTCAACGCAGGTACTAACTGCTGTTCTTCATAATTTTGGAATTCAGACGCTAAATTGAGTTTATTTTTTTGCAATTTAGTTCAATTCTGTGTAAAATATATTGATGCATGCCAACTGTTTGTCAAAATTCCTCTTCTAATTTGGATTTTGATTATGATGCTCATACTACCCAATCTAATTTTTACGGTGTGGCTTTTAATTTCTTTGGATTAGAGTGTATTTTTTACTCTTCAAGAATTATGAATTTGCGATATGATTAGGTCTTTTGAGATGGAGTGACGAATTGATTTCTTGATCAACAGAAATGCGACTGTTTTTTTCATCAGAATTAGCCCAATTGATCTGTGATTTTGAAATTTGTGAATGGATTTGAATACCCTTTTGCATAAAAATTTGTGTTTAACAATGACTGTGTTAAGAATCGCATACCCCCATTACCTCCGTGGTTGCCGACGAAAGAAAGGGAAAAAGAATTTCTATGTACAATGATGATTATGTTAAGCAATGCTTATTTGATAGGACTTGGGAACAAAGGGTATGAGAAAGTCCCAGTTTATGTGATCGAGTTCGAGGTATAAAGTATGGCGGTCAATGGATTCAATTCAAAGTAAAAATAAAGAAGCAGAATGGAGAAACAATTACTGGAAAGAGATAGACATTGGAAATTACTGGAGTTATGATTTTGCACTACACTTTGTAGTGTTAGCTATACCATCTGTTTTCTTATGTTGTATGCAATTGTTAATCGAAGTTGTCTTAAATCGTTTGTTTCCTTGCTGTAGTCTGGTGCTTTCTTCTATCGTTCTCACTCTTGTTTGAACTTTGAAGGTATTTTAATATCTGGGTCAATTTTTTTTATATTGTAACTTTCATAGTTTTAAGACTACAATTGATATGGGTTTGTGCTACATTCTCGTGATATCTCAGTATGATAAGATGATACACTTGGCATAAGTTTTAAGTAAATAAAGAAATAAAGACAAACAGATGTAAAATATTGGGTCCTTGTGCATATTAGTTCTTGAAAGCATAACCAGCAGTTCAACGAAACCAATTGTGCAGGATAGACTGAAAATGGGCAACTTATTTTGTTGTGCACAAGTTGGGCAATCAAAAGTAGCTATTAAGGAGAATTTTGGCAGATTTTCTGAGGTACTTGAGCCAGGATGCCACTTTGTTCCTTGGATTCTCGGGAGTAGCATTGCTGGATATCTTACACTGAGGTTGCAACAATTAGATGTGAAATGCGAGACAAAAACTAAGGTTGGTATGAACAAAACTGTGTCTTCTTAATTTAGCACAGATCGAGTTAATGGGCTTGTGTGTAATATTCTTTTATTCAACCAAGCTGATAAAGAAATATGTTTTGATAAGTTGAATGCTTAGGTTTCAATACCAACGAATAGAAGTTATAACTCTTAGGTGCCCTGGCTTATTTTGCAGCATTCACTTTTTGCTCATGTCTGTTGATCAGTTGATGAAATGTTTAAAGGTTATTTAAGTAATATGTTCAACGTCTGTACATTTCTGTAGCATTGATTGATGAGATCATATATAATTGTGGTTATTTTTTTGTGCAGGACAATGTGTTTGTCAATGTAGTTGCATCTATACAGTACCGTGCCCTAGCTGATAAGGCAAGTGATGCTTTCTACAAACTAACCAATACAAGATCTCAGATTCAGGCCTATGTCTATGACGGTATAATAAATTTAACTATTTTATATTATAATAAATCTTTCTGTTCTAGTTGCTGAATTTCAACCAAACTACAATCTGTCCATCCTTTTTTATTTCCTAGTTATTCGAGCCAGTGTCCCAAAACTCAATTTGGATGATGTCTTTGAGCAAAAGGATGAAATAGCAAGAGCAGTGGAGGATGAACTACAGAAGGTTATTTTGGCTTAAGTAATTGATGTCTAATTTTGCTTTTCCTCCCTTCTATATCAAACTCTAATGTGTCCTTTATCCAAACAGGCAATGTCTGCTTATGGTTATGAGATTGTACAAACACTCATTGTCGATATTGAACCAGATAAGCATGTCAAACACGCAATGAATGAGATCAATGCAGGTAATTTTCCTCTTTCTGTTAGAGCTATCTATTGTAGTACAGTAGAACAGCTTCTGTATTGGGTAGTGTATAATCATCTAGCAGTATAAAACCATTGGTTGAAATCTGGTAGACAATATATGTTTCCTGATATGTCAGATTGCTAGGCAAAGGAAGTAGTCATGACTACGGGCACCTTTTGCTAATGCTTTGCATCTATAGGTTGTTTTTGACAATTTTCTGTTATTTTTATGAGTTCATCATTTTTCACAAATGTTAGCATAGTTTTTCTCCCATCCCAATTTATGTTGTGGGAGAGTGAATGATCAATGATGTTCTTAATTCAGTTGCTGAAAAATATTAGGCAAAATAAATTCTCATTCTTATTATAACCACTTCCCTAAAATTTTTAGCTGCAAGACTGAGGGTGGCTGCCAATGAGAAAGCAGAGGCCGAAAAAATCTTACAGATTAAGAGAGCTGAGGGTGAAGCTGAATCCAAGTACCTCTCGGGAATGGGTATTGCTCGTCAGCGTCAGGCCATTGTAGATGGTCTAAGAGACAGTGTGCTTGGCTTTTCGGAAAATGTTCCTGGGACCAGTGCTAAGGATGTCATGGATATGGTTTTAGTCACCCAATATTTTGACACCATGAAGGACATTGGAGCATCATCTAAATCTTCAACAGTCTTCATTCCGCATGGACCTGGTGCAGTTCGTGATGTGGCTTCTCAAATTCGTGATGGCCTTCTCCAGGCTCAAAATATGCATCGATGATGGCCAGAAAAGTAAAAAAAGTAAAGTGCTAATTTGTTCATATTGCTTGAATGCTCTTAGTTAATCATAGTAGTATATGGGAATGATAGCTAAAATTGTTTATATGACCTGGCTATATGCTCAAGTTTTTTTTTCCCCTTGTTTTTTGTGCTTAATGAAACTTTTTATTAATAAATAATCTGGTAATAACTTCGTTTATCTCCAATGTAATTTTCTCCGTGCTTGTATGATTGCCATATTATTATGATTTTGAAGGCTAGATAGGGATTGTAGCTAGCACTGTTAGCCTCTGCTATTTTTTATGAAATAATTATTTTAAAAAAAACCAAGTATATTGGCAGAATTAGATCTCTTAACACAGTTTCTACTAATCTCAAAGGTGGAAAAATATAGAGGGACAATGGCAGGCATCATGCTAGCCTGGGCTGGGGTTTCGCTCGAGGATCGGCAATTTTATTAATATTATCATTAGATGTCACTGAAAATTTCTGTGCAGTATAGATACATTATATTATTATACAAGTGCTATTTGATAGTTGAAGGGGAGAATATAAGACATATTTCAAAAATTGTCAGCTTTAGGGGGTAACTCATTTTTAATTTAGTCTTGTTTGAGATCAGGATCATCTTCCTTGTTTGGGTTAGCAACTGCATTCTTTTCAGCTTCTTCAATGGATTTCAGGATCTCCTCTCTCTTAGCCGCCAGATCGCGCATCTTAGTGTCGATTTTTTCGAGCTTGAGCTTAAGTTTTGATGGATCCTTCTTATCTTCAGGGTTCTTTTTCTTCTTCTCTTTTCCACCACCCTTTTCTTTGCTGTGTTCATGATTATTATCACCTTCACCTTTTTCCTTGCTTTCCTTGTCTTTCTTCTTCTTTTCCTTAACTTTCTCTTCGACTTTTTCTTCGACTTTCTCACATTCTTTTCCCTCCCCGTCTTGGTGCTTTTGCTTAATCTCCTCCTCTGTTCCTTTCATGATTATGAAAAAAAAAGTATATGATATAATTCTGTAAATTTTCCTTTAGTTGATTTATTTTTTCTTTGGAATTAGATTCAAAATAAAAAGCCTCTTGTTTATTATGTAGAAATTGTTATTCTTTCTATAGGCTTACACCTATTTTTAGCTTTTCATGAAGTACAAATTAATCAATGGCCTTAAAAGAAGTTTTTTTCCTGAAAATGTGAATGCCCATTGGTTTGGACTTTGAAGTACATTGTGGAATGCAATTTGGTCAATCTTCTTGTTGGCAAAATAATAAAGGGCTTAAGGATACGACAGTATCACAAATTCTTTTAATTGTACTATTTTTAATAAGATTTGGGTCCTTTCTTTTTATCACAATGTTCTACTGTTAACGACATTCTATTCTTAGGGGTGCTTGGTTCACGGAGTCTAGGTATGCAATATGGGTTTAGAATGGTTTAAACTCCCAATACTTTGTGATTGATTTATGATTTTAAGAATTCTACCTCAATCAAACCCCCTATGTATGGGGTTTGAAAGCTTAAAGGAAAGTGGGTTTTATTCATACCAACACTTTTAGGTATCAAATAAAGAAAACAAAAAGTACTTTGTACTTGATTCTTAAATCAACCCAAACATATAGCAAGAGTCAAGTTCTAAACCCACAACATTATGATTTCATTTCTGATTCTAACCGTACCCCATATCATTTTACGAACCAAACGCCCCCTTAATTGTAAACTTCTACTCATGTATGTATCAAAGGCCAGAGTTCAATGCCTCGAACAATAAGACCACTCTTCCAACCAATGCCTTGAACCTCATTCAGTGTCATCTCCAAGACCATCTGTTCATCCGCAGCCTCAACACTAGAATCAACTTGGAATATGCCCATCTCAATCTCCATCCATCCATCAGCTCTTTCTTCTGGAAGCTCATCAGGATGTCTACACAAACTTCGTCCTGATGCCTTCAGATAGAATTTCTTAAAGACGGCTCTATGATGGTTGTAATGTTTTGACAACCCTTCTTCAGAATTTGCAAATACAGACACCATAACTGGTATATGTTCAAATCTATAAGCATGATTGTCATCTGCATCTGTCTTGAACACAAAATACATGGCGTATGTTGTATCAGGCGATAGGAATTTGGTGTGTATTCTTCCTTTTATTTCTAGACAACATTCATCATAGTCTGTATAGAGCTCAACAATCTCTAAGGACCTACAAAAAGATGATGCAGTTCCATCAAGAGGCACTTCATCTAAGAGTGATCATACATTAACATATTTACGGAGTAGTTGTATACTGAAGAACGTACAATTTACATACGATTAAAATAAATTTAGATAAATTCAGTTAAATTAGGCAAGTTAAAATTAGGTGAATACAATGCACTCTTATACTATATATGCGCATTCATATACAGTGTGTCAAGAATTATTTTGTATTTGCGTTTGTAGAAACTAGAAAGAGAAGAAGAGAAACCTCGATTCCGGTACATATTTCCAGTGTTGAGGGGTGCCTCCCCAGGCTATTTCCAGAGCCCTTGCACCAAGCATGTAGGATTTCTTTCCAGTCTATAAATCCAAGGGAAAGCTCTATGTTATGCAGCCAAAAATTAACATGTAATGAGTATATCAGTATGTTACTAAACAATGGAGTACCTTTGATTTTAAGCGGGCTACTACGTATATACATTACAGAGTATTTTATTTTCCTAATAAACGTGTTGGAAAATAATAACATCAAGTACGGAATATTAATTAAGTTTTGTTGGATGGATACCCCACGTCCCCACTTGACTGACTATGATTACAAATTTGCAAGTAGTTTAGTTTAGTGGTTTAAACCTAAAACTTACAACTCTTACCAGTTCAATGATTTGGAAATACATGATCCTCTTTATTTATATGTAATAGTCAAAATTATAGTTGTAACATACACTTTATCACGATATTTAAAAAAAGTGGACCTTACCTGATATAATCGTTTAGTTTAGTGGTTTCAACCTAAAACTTACTACTCTTACCGATTCAATAATTTGGAAATACATGATCCTCTTTATCCATATGTAATAGTCAAAATTATAGCTGCAACATACACTTTATCACGATATTTAAGAAAAGTAGACCTTACATGATATAATAGTAACAATACATTTAAAATGGGTTTAAGAGGTTATTAAGAGTATAATCAAGTGGGTCATGAGCTTTATATAAAGGTAATAGTATAATTTTTACCATAAAAACCTCTTTTTTGTGTGTTGTAACTACTGTGACATTTCTATTTTAGAAAACTGTTTCAACTATAAAAAAAATGGGGAAACTATCTATTAACATCGTGATAAAATTGTTTTTTTAGAAATTTATATACAAGTATAATTTAATATTAAATTGCTACCTTAGACAAAGACCAATCAAGAAGCCGAAATCTAATTATTAATAATCATATACAGAAATTAAAAATCCAAATATTCAGGTATTCAAATCTATTATATAGCAAAATTGCAAAAAGATTAGTGATTACCTTAGAGCAATCATTGTTCAAGAGTATAGGAGATCGGCAGAGTCGAAAATAGAGTTCTTTTTTCGAAACAATTTGTTGTTGTTGATCACGTACAAGTTGTGGGGACGAGTGTTCGATGAAGCGATCACAATTCAAGGGAATAAACTTCTCCCAAGCAAAATTGGATTCCGAGGCGGATAAAAACTGCTTTGACACCGCCGATGATCGGATGACATCGGTAGGCGTCGTTAATGAAAGGATTTGCGAAAGACATTCTTCAGGTAAGTCTATGAAGTTTGTAGTTGACAAAGACATGTTTTAAAGTTTTTTGGGGTTTTTTTTACTTTTTTTTAGGGGATTAATAAGAACAGAAGTTAAGGAAAGAGGGAATAAATGAACCAAGTCTATTTTATTGCTCTTAGACCACTAACCAGTGAGGAAAAATTTCCTCAACAACATCACGTTGATGAACAGTAGCAAGTGGGCCCCACCACCACTTGTTACTATTTTTTTTTTTTTTTTTTTTTGGCTTCCTGCACTCTAAAACACCGAGTTTTGGGCCTCCACACCTCAAAACTCATCTCGGGTACACTTTTTTTTTTTTTTTTTTTGGGGTGTCTTCAGAGTTTAGCTTTAAACCCATCCATAATTAACCAACGACCAAATTTGTCGATTTGACTAATCAACTAACGTAATTCATTAGTTAAAAAAGGTACACATGAAATAGTTGTATCTTGTATGTGGTCCCTAAGGCTTAAATACAACAGTTTTGATGAATAGTTTTATTTTATTATTTTGACAAAGATGAATAGTTTTGACAACTACACTACAATTTTGGTGAACATAAAGTTTTATATGTAGCTGGGGTTACTCGGTCGGTCACGTTTAATCGGTTAGGGGTTACATGTCAATGTTTGGGTGTGTGTTAGCCGGCTACAAGGTGTGAATGCACTGTTTAAACATACATAATACTCCCTTCGTTTCGAAATAATCGCAATATTTTGACTTTTACACTATTCACATGTTTACTTTGACTCTATTTTTTATCAATTATAAAAAACATATATTGTCATGTAATATATTTTTGGACTAGCCTTTATATTACCTCCGTTTCATATTATTTGTAACGATTTGACATAAAGTAGAGAGGAAAAATGTCTAATCGTTGCAAATAATATGAAACGGAAATAATATGAAACGGAGGTAATATATATTTTCATTAGATCAAGCTTTTATACTTTTTAGTTATATATAATTATAAATATTAAAGGTCAAAGTTGTGCATCGGTATATGTGCCTGTAAAGTGTTGCAATCATTATGAATCAGATTGGAGTATATATTTATATGCGCTTAATCTAATGACCAAAGTTCAACCTTGAAAATCAAAATTGTCTTATAAAGTTCTCTGTAATTGATATTGATATTGACATACTTTCTCTGTCCTTATTTTTTTTGTATCATTTGACTTTTTACGATTTCCAACTTTCCAAGACGTTTTTTAAAATGTACATAACTTCATTTCTATATGCGTAAAAATTAGAAAATTTTGTAAAGAACCCCAAATAGTTGGGGCTTTTTGAAAAATACATACCCCCATTAACTTATTTTTTTTGAATTAAACCTCCAAGGTTTCTTATAAAGTTTAACTAGCACCATCAAACTAACAAATCGGTTAAATTTTCTACCTTTAGGCCCCTCTTCTACTTCAATTTAATTGTCATCCCATCCTTCCTTACGTTCTTCAATCTCTTCTACAAAATGGTCATATTTTGATTTTCAATAATCAGTTAAATTATTTCTTAAAGAGAACTTATGGTCAAAGTTTTTAAAATTTGACCCATTTATTTGTAATGGGGCAAAAAAATTAGTACAGAGGGAGTATATCAAATCAAAAAAATCATTTATAAATTAAATTAAATATTGTATCATCACACAGTATTAACTAGTGTGGCAGCATGATATGTTGATTGGGCTATAAAATTAGTTTTTAATTCTTCTTTGAAACCGGCTATAAAATTAGTATGAGCCAGACTTGACATGACATTATCAATACAAATTGGCTGATTCGTAGACAGTGGGCCTACACAACCTAGCTTGCGCATAACCAAGTTTTTTTCATTTAAAAACGATGAATTGATAAAGAACAATCACAATTTTAAAAACCAAAACCCAATACATGTTCCATAATATCTCAACCCAACGTCATATTATCATCACATCATCAAACAAAGTAAAAATTAAAAAAGAAAAGAAAAACATGAAGTAATAAAAACGGTGATGATAATGATATTATTAATGTACCACATACGAACCAACCAACACTTCATGCAACTAAGCTAATAATGAATCCAAAGGACGAAGCTCAAAGCCATAAACAATAATTCCACTCTTCCAAATAAGATGTTTAGTCTGCTTAATCCTCATCTCCAAGACTTGCCTTTCATTCAAAGCATTTTCACCAACATGATACCTGCTCATCTCTACCTCTAGCCATCCATCATTTCGCTGAGTCGGGTAATGTTCGGACAAAGCTCTCGTATACGACGCTACCTTGAGGTAGAAATTCTTGATGGGATGTTCATTATCATCAATGGATGGCTCTTCTTCATCAGCCTCGACCACAGACGCCTCGACGGGTGTACGTTCAAAGCCGTAGCAACGGTCGATAGCAGGATGCTCCTTGTACACAAAGTACACACCATAAGTTGTGTTTGACGACAGGTATTTGGCGTGGAATTTTCCACTTATGTCTAGCCAACATACGGTGATCAGTGATGCAACCTCTGGGAACCTACAATTTTCATTAAGGATGTATGTAACAAATCTCTCAATATATTGATATAGTTGAACTTGTTCTTATTTTATTTATTTATTTTAGGGATTTAGTTTAAGTGTGATAACTTTCTAAATTATCTAAAATCTTGCATAGTACCATACCAATAGTGTTATATTTATTATCTTCAATTATTCAACCGATTGTACCTTATAACGTAAAACAAGATCATACCTATTCAAAAAAAAAAAAACAAGATCATACAATTTTGCATATGCACGTATGCACGTGCTCACAAGGTACAATCACATTATATTATTATTATTATTATTTCATGCATGTCAACGCACATTTTATAACTTAAATATTTTAAGTTGTATTTTAGTAAAAATTATAACAAGTTGATATATATTATGAAAGTCGAGATAAATATAACAAAATCTCAAATAAGAATACTTTTATCTAATATAAAATTCACAAAATAATAATAATAATAATAATAATAAAAGGAATGTGCGTGAATAGTGTAAAAAGAATGAGGAAAGTATAACAAAGTACAACTGGTTGATTGTACGTACATAGAAAACTGACTATAGATTTAATATGTAGAAAGAAAGAAAAACCTTGATTCAGGCATGTATTTCCAGCTCCAGTAAATACGGGTGTCTCCCCAAGCAATCTTCAACTTCCTGGCACCAAGCATGAAGATTTTCTTCCCAGTACAGTAGTCCAAGGCAAAGCTCTAAATAATACAGCATAATAGCCATAATTTAACATGAATATTTTACCAAGTAGTAGGAAAAAACACAAATTATGGTGTAACAAGCCAACAACTAGCTAGTAGGAAACAACACAAATTTGAAATCACTGCTCTCTTATTGCAATTAACCCTTAAAAAAATTATTGTCTCTTGCCCTAATTTTATAGTATTTATCATTTTCTTTAAAAAATAAAAATAAAAATAAAAATAGTATCTATCATTTAATAATTTAATATTTTGGCAAATTAAATTCTTAAATTAATATAGTATTGTTCTAGAAATATTGATTCTATTTTAATGCGAGTATAAACAATACAGATAAGACAACAACTATCTATTATAAATGGGTGTATATTTTGAAATGTTAAAGAAATTTCATTCTTTAATTAGTCCTTTTATCACTTCAATGGATATCAAAAACAACCGGTTATTTGAAATGACCAGTCTCTTATCGTAACTAACCCTAAATTTTTTTTTAGTCACTATATCTAAAAAGTATGTTTTTGAGAACGAGATAAAGATATAGTATCTTCACTAAAATTTTTTACTTCATTTATTAATTCTATGGATATCATAATAACTGGCTATTTAAAACAATCGGTTTCTTATTGCAACTAATATTTTAAAAAAAAAATGAGAATCCTTGAAGGAATTTTAAAAAGTTAAAATTCAATCCAATTCGATCAATCCAAATTAAATTTTGATAATATGGATCCAACCTGAAACCTGATTTCAATAAACATCCAATTTTTTCATGTCAATATATTGCTCTAATTTTGTAATAATGGAATTAAAAAAATATACAATTTATCAAAAATTGGATGCCCTACATTGCTTCATAATACCTTAGGGAGGATTTAATTAAGATGTTTAATTTGGTTAGCTAGCTTGTTGTGCTTTCTGTGCATGCAATGTCACTAATTTTAATTAACTTCAAATTAATTTTTGATTTGTAGAAAGAATTCGGTTTTTTGATTTATTAGATCCAAACCCCTTTAATTCGATTTGATCCGATTTTAAATTTTCTTTAAAAAAAAGTCCAATCTAATCCAATCCAATTTTTAAAAAATTCAATTTTGATTGTCCAATTTACCTTGAGGGATTTGATCGAGTTCTTTAAAGCTTTTGGAATTGTTAAATAAAAAAAAGTGTCTATTTTGTTCTTTTTTCTTACTTTGTATTATTTACAATGTATGAATTAGTGATATTTTTTGTTTATTATTATTAGTTTTTGAATATTATTATTATTAAATTTGACAGCAGAAATAAATCCCCATATATTTCGTGATAATGTTACGCATATTAAATTTTGCACATATATAGTGATATTCAGTAGTTGGTAACGATTGAAGCAAATTTTGTTTGGAATCTGGAGGGAATGTGATTTATACTCTGCATGTATCTCACTTGTACTCCATTCAAGTTAAATAATTTTCACCAATTATTCTGCTAGAGTTCTTGTTGTGCATGATAAGGTTTAATTAAACCGTGTTAGTGTGTTACATTATTTATTGTAGTAAATTAAGTCCTAATTAACTAAATAAGACTCACTTGGAGCGATCTCATAATAATTTATTAATGTTACTCATTTCATAAGACAGCCTTTTTTACGAGACTCGATTGATTTTTCTCACTTATATTAATGAGTGTAAATTAAACACTTGGGTCAACAAATAGATGTGTTATGTGTATAAAAATGAGAGGATTACCGACCTGAGTATTGTTGTTCAAGAGTATAGGATTCTGGCAAAGATATAAAAAGAGATCCTTCTTGCTTTTTAATATTTGTTCATCAATTGGGGTTGATGATTGAGATATGAAGTCATCACAATCTGAAAGTCTAACTGGCTAATACAAGAGGGGGGGTGAATTGTATTTGAGATGAAATCTAAAAACTTTTG